TGAATCTAGAAGGGATATTAAAAAAACCCCAACCCTACAACACACAAACCTCCAACCATTAACCCTTCCCAACAACTAAAATCTCATTTGCAACTCACACGCTCTTGAGCTTTGGATTTGGTTTGCTTGCCTTGCAGCCCTCAGTGCCACAATACCTGACATCTAGCACAGCTGGATCACTTAAACATGAAAGGTCAAACACTGCAAAGAGTTTCAGAGTGGTTTTGGAAAAGGAAAACGCATTTGTTCTCAGAGTCAGGTAGGGCAACATGCTGGAAGTAATGTGTGTTGCCCACAGTAAAAAATAAAGTAATGAGTCAGTCAGTTTGGGAGAAATTTAAGGCAGTTCTGACCCTAGATGATAGGATCCAGCCAATGGTGTATGGAAAGAGAGGTTATAAATGTATTCCTGAGGAGATAATTGCACAAATGATTGAAAAAAAAAGCTTAACGCTTTCATGGGGTACTTCAGTATTGCACATACAGATAAAAGGTGATGGAACATTTTTAACTCTGTAATTAGCACTGTAATAATGTTGGCTGTTTAAGTTAGCTAATAATATTAAAGAGGAGCTCTGATTTAATAACAGAGACACAAACCCAGGTATTGCTAAATGATGATGACTTCCTACCAGTTCTATTCAATAAAATTTTATCTTCATTTATACTGTAGATAATGTCCCCTGTAGAACGTAACTGTGTTTATACAGCTACCCTGGCTACTTGAAGAAGACACAGAAAACTATCACAGTTTGCAAACAGGTGAGGAAATAAAATGGAAATCTTGTCCTCTGCCCCAGCCCTGCTAGTTCCTTAAAAATCAATTTTGAAGTAATTTGAAAAGTTCTGATTTTGGTTTCAGTTTGGTTTCATTTGTGTTTTGAAAATACAGCTTTCCAGAGACATTAACATCACAGATTACTGGCATTGAAGAGAGGTATAAGGTATAACCCAAATATAAAAGGCCCTCCATCTCCATGCATGATTAAATGCTGACTCAAGGTACTGCAGAATTTTTGATCCCCGAAGTTTAATAAAATTCAGGACAGGCAATAAGAAGTCACAGACAAATTAAAATTTATTGAGACAGACAAAAATGCAACTATTTCAGACTACAGTTAAGCATTTACAGTTAACCAAAGGTAGCAAAATGCTCACATTCCACTTAATTCCTTATGGAAAAAGCATTCAGAATTTACTATGCAATTCTACCTACTATGATAGTCTACATCCACCTACAGTAGGGACATCAAACTGAAACACGGAATATTTGGATCTCTCCTTACAGATCTACACGTTTAACAGTGATGGACATCAACAGCATTGAGAAAAGTATAAAAAGACCAAAACCCACCTACTGTAGAAAGGGCTTCTTGATGTGTAGTAACTGTACAAAGCAGTCTATGTATTAAAGGAACTCCGAAGGCATACAGAAGGGACTGCAATAGAGGCCAACAAATGTAGGAAGCTAAGCGTGAGCGATCTGGTGGTCTGTACCAAGTGGTGACCTTAGGTCTATGTCATTTGCTGCTTGAGGGAGGGTGAAAAAAAATGCTACAAAACTCCTAATATCAAAATATTCCCATGCCAGAAATGTACACTGAGACTAGAAGACTAGGCTGGAGAGGCAAAGAGAAGCATTCACTAACAAACAGCGTTGTTTTAAATATAAACTTTACATTTTTAATATAAACTGTAGAATAAATATTAAATAAACACTTCAAATGGTTTAAATTAATAGTACAGAATAGCTTAAAAAAAGGCAAAGAAAAGGAAAAGGATTCTTTGTGTTCATAGCAAAGGCCAGTAATGACCCAAAAAACCCAACTGTGCTGATACCTGAACTCAGGGAGATTTTGATTTAACCACAGTAGTTAAAGGGACACCTTGAAATGTAAAGTAATACCTAACAGTATTTTGTAGTCTCTAATACAAAACAGAAAATGAGATTAAAAATTGGTTTGTGTTGCTAAAAAGAATGGAACAACTCTGATTTAGTTTTTCACAATGAGAAACTGTACGGAAGGTCAAGGTCTTGATGCAGATGGGAAGTCCTGCTTTTTTTTTAAAAAAAAAAAAGAATTAAAAAAAAAGGAAAAAGGAATTAAGACAAGAGTAAATTAAAAGCTTTTCAAAGCATGAAGAATGGAAGTGGCTTGATCTGGAAGAGCACTGGTTCTTGGTAGAATCACTGGTTTCTTTTAAGGAAATAAAACATTTTCTTAATGCATCTTCCCAAATCGGACACACATACAGATATATGTGTATAAATATCTATACAGACACACATCTATACACCTATGTATATATATAGGCCACGGATCTCCCACCACCGGAGGATGCCAGTGGGTCACAAAAGAACTTTGCTAAGTAGTAATATTTGGGAACATGCTCTTAAAGCAACCCATAGCCTGCACTGCCCTTCCAAGCCCCACAGCCTGCCCTGGTCCTGACCAGGCTGTGACACCGTGTGATTCCACACCACAGTCTTTAAACTCTCTTGTCGTCATAACCAACTGTTCTAGGGATTAAAATGGCATTTTTAATTTTTTTTTTTTTAATTTTTTTTTTTCCCACCCACCCAATGCTGGCCATGATTCAGAAGAACATTTGAACAACTGAAGCAGGTGACTGAACGATCGCCTGGCTGGGGTGTCTTACTGAATCCAAGCCAGCGGGCTTACACCAGGAGTGAGAGGGGATGCGTGTGCATGAGAGAGAGAGAGAGAGAGAGAGACACACACGTGTGTTTTTCGTGTGAAGAGAAACACGTTAAAAGAGCCCAGCCGAGGCATCTGTCCTCTTGCCTGGCTGTGCGGGGCACAGAGCTCTTTGACAGGCACCCACAGCACATTTGAATTGATGAGGCTGAGAGACAGTATTTGTTTCATAGTTTAAGCAAAAGATATAAAACCTGCCAGCTTTGATTTGGATTAATTGCAGGTGAGAGATTACAGGCAGGGGAGGATCAATGGCACTGAGAAAGTGAAGGTGGTAATGGCGTGGCTGCTCCTGTAAAAGTGAACGATGCCCACATCCACTTTCAAAAGCACATTTAAGAGATTCTGTTTAACCACTCTGCCTGTTTTCATGTTTCACAGAAGGGCTGCAGCCTTGAAACCTGGAGCTGCCTGTAAGGGCTTGGTTAGACTGGTGAGAAGAAGGGATTTGCTATGTGGCCTTTGAAGTAAGGCATAGTTCCAGGGTAAGCTGTAGCAAAAGGACACAGGACTGCAAGAAAAAAAAACCTGGTTGTGTGTGGAGAAGGCATCCAGTCAGGAGGATAAGCATAACGATTGATGGAGGAGCTCAGTTTTATATCAGAGTGGAAGAGCAACTCTGTGCCTTAGGCAAGTCCTGCACAGGACAGCGGAGCTAGACTCAGAGAGTATGGGTTTATTTTATAAAATACTAGAAGAAAACCAGCCACAATGTTTGAGAAGCTTCTGATAGTGTTCAGTTGCTTCTCACAAAATCATACTATTTAGGGAAAAAAGTGCTGGTTGTAGCTGTTCCTCTCACAAGTCAGCCTCATTTTCTATGAAAGTAGAAAGAGCATGTTTGTGAGGCTGGGCTCAAGCACAATGATTTTAAAATAAATTTTCAAAAGCTAAACCGAAGGGATTCAATGCAGGGCGGATCATAAGCCTTTTGCAAATGACTGTGATGGCAGATTTTTGGGAGGATGCTTTTACACATCCTTCTGCATTAATAACAATTATGCAGGCTTGCTCTTTGTTCTCAGGTCATTGATCTAGATAAATAGGGAATGAAAGGGGAGAAAACAACTGAGAGGAGACTGAGGACCTTAAAAAAATTAACTTCTTCAAACCAGCACTGTAGTGACTTTGTAACCAGACACGTTTTGACTCCATGTTATATCTGACACTGATTCAGAGGAAGAGAAAATTAGTTTTCTGAGTAACAAGCACATTTTTCATTCTGCAGACTAACTCGCAGGCAAATGACAGGCACTGCTAAAATACTTACAGCTGCATCCTAATTCAAGAGTGGGGTTAAGGTACCTCCCACTGTTTCTGAAAGCAGCAAAAAATAATAAAAGAGCACCACAGCACATTACTGCATCAGAGACCTGCGACGAGAAAGGACACAGCAAATAATTTAATGCTAATATGCTGTGACACAATTGAAGAACTATGAATATATGGGGAATTCCGAGGGAATCCCAGTTGGTATTTTAATGCTATTCTCTTTTATGTGTGTGCATTATGAAGGGGCTCATCACACTGAGCAAAAGGGTTATGCTTTTGAAATATGACCATCAAAATTTGCTTTTTTTTTTTTTAAAATAGGCCAAATAGATGTTAACTATTTAAATTAAAGAGATGACAGCTTATTATTTTTGACCGTTAGTGTCTTTCACAGCTTTGTAACTTTGGAATGAGGGATTGCCAAGAGTAGATGAAGAACAGGCAGATGCGAAGTGTGTGAGCGAACGAGTTCAGACAGCAGCTGAGGAACAGCTCTGGAGGTGGTTACGATGCCACAAATTCTCAAAACACTCTTTTCTCAAGCACAGGGAAAGGCAGATAGACTCTGCTCCCTGCCTGTAGGGCTTGGTCCATGAGAGCCTCAGGTTCTCAGCAACTTTTAAGATCAAGGCCATGCTCCTCAAGCAAATAAACAGTGCCACAGAGCTCATCTGTGCTCTGGTGGGAGCTTTGCCTTCAATGTGGGCTGGACTAAGCCTGTTGGATTCAGAGAATGTAAGGAAGAGAAAATCCTGCCCATGGGCTTCTTTCTGGATCAAACCCCTGGTGCTGCGCAGGGGTCATTATCCACAGAGACTTACTCTTTACTGGAACAGAACAAATACTGACTGGAAAATGAGGCACCTTCTTTACCTTCTTCATGAAAGAAAAAGAACTGTTTCTGATATGATCCAGGTAACAATTTATAACACAAATTCTCTAACATGAAAAGGGTGCCTAAGTCTTGTATTGGTTTGCTGAGCGCCTTCTGTGATTCATCTTTCACAGGATACATTTCATAATTGTGCAAGTGAGGATTAAGACATGAAATGGTTTTGAAACAAACCTCATTGCCCCTGTGGATAGAACAAAAATCCACCAAACCAACTGAACAAAAGCTGTATTCCGAACAGTCCTTGCTGGGGGGGAAAAAAAAAAAAAGAAAGGAAAAGAAGTTGTCTTCCAAATTAAATAGACTATAAAAAATGTAACTCAGTAGAGAGGGAATATTTGTGCCAGGTACTCTCAGATACAATTGCCAGAGATATGATGTGACTTGCAATATTGTGCAAAACGTGAGTCCTCATTATGATGGGCACTACCATATATAACCAATTTCATCATCCTTATCATCATCTTCATCTTCGTCATCTTCATTAGCTGCTCTTACATGAATCTTCAGTTTCCCTTCTTTATCTTTTCTTGTTTCTTCAGGTTCCTCTTCCAAATCATCCAACAATACAACAGATCCACCACTGCCAAAATCCCCTGATGTTTCTTGCTCTTCTTCTGAAACAGGTGAGCAGGAAAGGTCATTCTCTCACATGACAACGAGCCCTCATTCATCACTACCCTTGTCATTCAAGCCACTGCCATTTGCAATGTTTTAAAATTCACTGCTTCACCCAGTCATGAAACAACCTGTAAATTTCAATTTTTAGCCTGACCTGAGATAAACACATACCAATTTACTCTGAAAAATTTGCATAAAAGGCTGTGCACCACCCTCCTCCTCGAGACTCAACTGGAGAGTCTCAGTTCAAATGCATGCAGGCCACAAAATCACTACTTGCCTGTAAATACTTTCATCCCTTCACAACTCTGTAAACCAGGCCAAAAATGTCCCACAAACTGATTTTATTGAGTGCAACAACCACGGTCTGCAAATGTAGCTATTGAGCCTAGTATGTGGGCATCTCTGCTTTTTCTGTTCCTTCTCAGAGAGGAAAGCTGCACCCACAGCCACCACTGAAGCACTCTGAAGGAAAACAGCTGGAATATTGCTTGCCTAGGTGTAACAGCTAATTGATGATTTCACATACCTACGTAATATTTGCCCGTCAGCAATTCTATTGAGCCTGGCTGCTAATGTATAAAAATTCACACATTTAGGCCTTTTCTTTGGGTGGAAAGACATTCCTCATGAAGTCCCAGCAAATGTGCATTCCAGACTATATAGAACAATATATTTCATAACCATACACTGCAAGCAATCCCAAAACCTGAATTTTGATATTACCTACTACATTTTCCAGGCTGGTAGCACTTTCTTATCAGTGGTTATTGCCTGTTAGCTTCTGCTGCAGCCCCCCCAGTCCTTCGGACTGGGGGGGCTGTATAGAAACTAACAGGTATGTATAGAAACTAACAGGTATGTATAGAAACTAACAGGTATGTATAGAAACTAACAGGTATGTATAGAAACTAACAGGTATGTATAGAAGCTAGCAGGCATGTATAGAAATTAACAGGCATGTATAGAAACTAACAGGTATGTATAGAAGCTAGCAGGCATGTATAGAAGCTAGCAGGCATGTATAGAAATTAACAGGCATGTATAGAAGGGCCCCATTTGTAGTCTGAATAGGAAAACACAGAAGCACTCCTGACACTGGCAGTCATGTTTTCCTGTTGTCGCTTTTGTTATCACACTCCATCATACCGAGATGGCAGGGCTTTACAACAGTGTTAATTCTTGTTTTTTTTATAGAGGAAAGCGTGTCATTACTCACCACAACTAACTGTCCCTTGCTTTCTTGAGCCAGCTATCTCGTTCCCGTACTTATCGACACACCAGCACTGCCCTGTGCTGCCGTGGCACTGAGTGGCTTTGTAATAACCTTCTTCATTGCACCGGGGGATGAAAGCACCTGAATAAAATATAAGGTACAATCAGCAATGCAAGACTCTGTAGGAGCAAGCAGGTATGGAGAGTATTATGAACTTGTCACTTATTTACATGAAGATCTTTACAATGCTGGCAAGAAAATACATGTAATTATTTGGTGCCTAAAAGGGAGCTGAAATTACATATGATTAACTATTTTCAGCCACTCTGGTCACTGCACAGTGCCTAAATGTTTGGCACATGGTATTAGAGGCAGGTTCAGTCTGTCCCTGAATGATTAATATTCCCACAGAGCCCTTTCAGTTTTTAAACTTTTCTTCCCACCTGCATTATTACCCCAACTTCATTAATTCTGCATTTCCCTTCCATTTGCACTCCTTCAGTGTTTATCATCTAAGTCCTCCCACAACACTGTAATTATCCCTGGAAGGTATCTGCCATCTGCTTGCTATTCATACTAATCTCAAGCACAACTTCCAACTCACTGGGAGTTCCCATGTATAAAAGAAGAAATAATGCATGAGCTTTATAGAGAGGGGCAACAGGATCTGAAGTCTTTGGATCTGAAGCCCGAGGTTTGTCTCGCAATAAAAACCAACATAGTTCAGCCTTGTGGACTGTGGTTCCTTGTGGGTTCTGCAGACAGGGAAGCTCTCAGGAGAAACCCATCTTATTGTTCCCATCGTTTTCAGCAGATGGATCGAGATGGGTTAGCTTTATTCCCAGGGGAGGTCAGCCCAGTCGTTTTCCCTTCTTTGCCAATTGCTTCAATTTGAAACATTGCAGAAGCCCACCCTTGCCTCCAGTCCCTTCTTTGCCAATTGCTTCAATTTGAAACGTGGCAGAAGCCCACCCTTGCCTCCAAATTTCTTTTCTCAAATGATTTTTGAAAAAGTATTTTTCTGCTTTGTCCAAGATACCAGTGATTTACTGGTTGTGCAGTAAGTTTTTTAACCAGTTCCATGTGCATAGCATCTCTTCAGGCAGTTCATGTGCCAAAGGGGCTATTTCCACTACGTTTCTCATGATACCAGTGATTTACTGGTTGTGCAGTAAGTCTTTTAACCTGTTCCGTGTGTATAGCATCTCTTCAGACAGTTCATGTGCCAGAGTGCCTATTTCCACTACGTTTCTCACGGACAAAATGAATGAGAAGGTGCTTCCCACATGTCACAAAATTTCCTAAAAATGAATGAGAAGGTGCTTCCCACATGTCATGAAATTTCCTACATAGAAGTCATAAAAGTAGAAGTCAGTCAATCTCCTGTGTGCACACAGACACACAAAGGTATATAAAGTGGATCCTTGGACTTCCAAACTCATCAAACTGCAGATCTTGTCTAATGTTTGAGTGCTGCTAATGTAGGTCTGGAAGATCCGATCAGTTTTGGAGACCACTTCACATCCATTGGAGAGAGTATTTTTAGTAACTTCAAAATATTATCTTATAGCATGTGTGCTTATAAGTTACCACCATTAAGTTCATGTACAAATGTAAGCATAATGATGCCCACCAAAGACTCTTTTTCACTATTGGTACAAAAATCATTCTAATAACCACGTGCATGTACCTTTGCAGGTTTTTGGAAGTTAATGCTCACTGTTCAATCCTTTATTTCAATATTGATTGAGAAAGCTTTTTTTTTTTTTTTGTATTTCTACTCATGTCTTCTCTCTTTTCAGCACTTCAGGTGTTTACCAGACTATACACAACCCTGGGACAAGTGCTCAGGTGCTGATGTCGAGCTGCTGTAAATCAGCACAGCTGTACTTGTGGCACTAGAGCTCCCCTGTTACATCAGATGAGCATCCAAATCTAGAGAATAATCAAAGGGGGAACCTCAGTGGCAATTTGGGGTGAGAAGAGAACGGACTCTGCATTTTAAACTGTCTCTTGCTTTCTCTCTTCCTTGTGCAACTCAACCTTTCCTTTCTCTGAAACTACACCATTTTTGGAGAGTTTCACTGTGTTGCTTGCAAAGTATTAAAATGTTCCACGCTGCCTGTAAAAAACATAGATTTAAAAATAAATTATTGCCCACTGCCGACATAACTGTGTGTGGAAAGGACTCACGCTTTGGGTCACTGTGAGGAGTAGATGGTACTTTTCCTTCTGCATGAGAAATTTGTGCCACAGTATTTTCCAGCCATCAGAGGGAAAGTTACAGCATGTTTTCCCCAAAGTGTCAGGTGCAGGTGATAATCTGGTGAGGACAGAGCCGCTGAGGGCAAGTGCTGTGCAGCATGATGCCTTGTCCTGGAAATCCTACACAAACAAGTCCTTGTGTTCATTACAAATAAGCTCTGTCTAGAGGCTCTGCTATTCTGGAGCATGGCATCCAGTCAGACCGTTTAGTGGGAATATTTCACCCCATAATTTGGTTTGGCTTTGGAGAACATCTGCAGACTTTGGAAAGAGAAAGTTTTCCTCTCCAGAGTTTCTTGCACTGATGGTGCTTCCCCACAAGCACGGTGAGGAGCACTGATGGACGTGCTCTGGTCCTACAAAATGCTAGTCACTCCCTACCGAACAGTCTCAGGCTAGGCAATCCTGCCTCCCCCACCTCTCCTTGTCCTATGGAGTATTTAATTATTCCACACAAACTTGAACAACACTGTTGCATCTATATCCTCTTTGTGGATCCAGACACATTTTTTTTTTTTTGTCATAATTTCCTTATCTATATAATACTCCCCTTCCTCAGAGGACATGCAGAGAATAATTATATGCTAAAGGAAGCAAACAGGTAAAAGCCTGACAGCATTAAGTGCTAGCCAGCACACAGCTTCTTGTATTAGCTATTATATTAGCTGAATTCACAGGGCTGATACAGAAGAAAATAGTGACGGGAGCAGAAATTTATTACCTTAGTGATGTGGGAGAAGCATTATCAGGCTGCACAGTTCTATGCTCTAAAAGTACACTCTCTGCAGTTAATTGTACTCTAGATAAATCTGGTAGGAAAAGATGAATAGTGCTGTTTACTTTTTAATTCAGCCCCCTGGGATGCTAGACTCTATTTGAAAGGCTCCAAATTCAACATGTCTAATGGCAATGGCTTTGAAGTACTTTTTTGCAACTGTCATGCATTTTGAAAAATTGATAGAGAACAAAATATCAAAAGTCATAATCTCTTTTTATCAATGGATACAAGTTAACAGAAATCTTCTTCATGCCTACTGCCCGGATTGTAAATGCTGTGCTCCATATATCAGGGCTAGAGAAGGAAAGAGAATAATTAAAGGCTAGTTTCTCGGAAAATATTAACCTCTCTTTTCAATCTTTACTGTTTCTACAAGCACAGGTTTTGCCATGTGTATGATTTGGTTTCCGTTTGCATGATTTTTTCAGTCACTGAAAAGACAATGTCTTCCACTGTAAAAATAGCTATGAGATCAGATTAAAATCTCACAGACAGGTGCCATTATGCAGGCAGATTTTCGAGGTAGGTGAAGCAAAGAGTTCCTCTCTATATTATAATTTTCAAGCTTGTGGAACAACCTATGCCTGACATTTCTTGATTTGTTGAGCTTAGCCACTTTCATCTTTTTTTTTTTTTTTTTTTAATAGAGTTGACTAGAACTTATTTGTGGCAAGGGACCATTCTTACTGCTTTTACTTTGTCATTTTACTCCTGCTATTGTGATCAGATCCCAGTGACATGCTATCAATGCCTGCATGTTGTACTACCTACAATACAGCCATCATTTTTCCCTGCACACCAGAACAAACCACTTATGTTTCAGCCTAGATGGCATTTATTGCATATAGCAAATAACAGCAAAGCATAAAATAAATATGGGATAGCCAAAGATATTTATTAGGAAGTGAGCTTCTTATTCTTTTAGGTGGCTTTGAACATCATGACGCTCAGGAGACAGAGGACACCATGACTTCCTCTGCCACAACATGCATTTGAACAGCAATGCAAAATATTTACTGAGTGGAGCACACATACAACTGAGCGATCAATCCTCCCTTTGCTCCCACCTCTGTGAACAGCAGGAGCTGTAACTCTGAAACATCTTAATCGTTATGTGAACTTGCTATGAAAGGATGATGGAACTAAACCAGAGTCCCCGTGGCCTTTGGGAAGGTTTATTCTTATTTTAGACCAACAAATCCAGGTTGGGATTTTTAATACAGAGCCTGAACCTTGAGCCCAAACGGCGGCGGCATCTGGGAATGGCAGGGTTTGGCAAAGAGGAGCTTTGCAGAAGCTCTGTTTGCAGGGTCTGCTAATGAGTATCTGGAAACATCAGCCTCAAACCTGAGAGCAACCTAAGAAGCAGAAGGCAACCCGAAAAGCAGCCCAGCGGAGCTGATGTGCACGCGTGCTCTGTGCTGCAGCTCGTGAGGCTGTTAAGAACCTGACAGGGGTTCTCGATCATGGGCCTGACAGCCTGGGTCTGGGGTAAGCCAGACTCCTCAAGGGTGAAAGGCAGTCCTTTCTGTAAACAGAGACTTTAATCTGCATTGGTATGCCTTGCGTGACTTGGCTCTAAGTACACAAATGTGCGAAGACAGAAGTTTCAATAAGAAACAGAACACAATGCTGTGATTTTAGGGTACAGAATTAGTTACCTTAAATTTACTCAGTTCAACAACCTGATTTTTTAGCAATTAAATGGGAAAACGCCATTAGGGATTTATTTCACCTAATTTTAGATATCCATCAGAGCAGAGTAAGTTATGAATTAATTCAGGCTCCCAACAGTCAATAGAGAGAGGGGCAGACATTATCACATCTTACAGCACACAGCATCCTGGAGGGCTGCCTAAAAGGAGATGATATAAATTCCCGTCTTTGTATAGACAGAACGTACTGGAATATTTTAAAGGGTGATTAGGCAAAACGGAACCCCAAGGAATGCATGCATGCATTGCAGAGTAACTGGAAGAAGACATGAACCCATTGGCAATGCACTGTGGCATCTTCAGTCACCCTTCAAAAATGGAAGGCTAGAGTATCAAGCAGCCTCCATACTTATTCTGACCTAGGAGGTGATGAAGGCAGTATTAGGCTCTGTGCATACAAGGCTTTCCATTTCCAGAGAGCTGTAAATTAGTTCTGAACCCGTTGCCATGCTGACACCTGTTCTGTACATTGCTATCTCATTATTTGTTTAATTTCATAGTGTCATGCCTACGCTCTGTGGTGCATATTCCCGACTCAAAACATTAGTCTCTAATTGAAAAACCATTACTGCATATAAAGTTACAATAATCACAGAAGCTTTAATTAGTTGAGTAAATGAATAGCAAGTAATCGAACTTACCCAACAGACTCTTGCCTCTACTTAGCTTTTGAATTCTATTCATTTCATTCTGGCAAGGAAGACCTAAAATATAACGTATGAGAATCAGTTTCCAGATGGTACGGGACAGACTCTGTAATGACTGGCTTCACTGCTGACGTGCAGTGTAGACTAGTGTACACCTGGGGATGAAAGGAGTATTTGCAGTATTGCAAAACAAATTTATGTCATTAGCATTACGAATTTAAAAAAAAAAGAAAAAAAAAAGAAAAGCGAAACACACTCTGTACTTGAGAATAGTATTTAGGGGCCATTTTCATTGTTAAACCATTTTCCCCCTCTTTTCACCAAACTGACATAGTGCCAGCTCTCTGCGATTTGCTAATGCACTAATTTCTGCATGAATAAGAGCAAGTTCTCAAGCTTTCTATCAGCGAAAGAGCTTATTTCTTTACTGTGTGCACTGGCACTCACTATTTGCTTGTTTTAACAATCAGGAGATATTAATGTAGCTCATCTGTGCTATTAAACACTATTACACAATGCCCTGCCACACTAGCACTGGAGAAAAGAGCTTTTTAACTGCCAATTACCAAAGTATCACTCGAAGATCAAACCTGAAACATAGAGAGACTTAAACAGCTTCTCCTTGTGCTGCAAATTCCATGACTTACCGCCCGGCTTCTGGAAGCAGTAGCACCACTCGTTGTTCGAAAGCTTTCCGTCTTTGAAGGAATCGCAGGAGTTGAAGAGGGGCTTCACACACGGCTCGTACTTATCCAGGTAAATGGCACTGATCTCCGAGGGATCCAGCAGCAGGTCGTAGTTCATGTCAAGTTTGTTGAACATCCAGCCCAAGGAATCCTTACAGATGGGTAGGATGCTGGTGTCAAATCCTGCAAGAAGACAAGTATCTATATCCCCGACTGAACCCCAGCACACTCACGGCACGGGAATTGTCGCTAAGCTGAAGCCTTTCTAACTTTCTTTTTGCTGGACTCAACATTAACCTGACTTGCCCAAAGTAAAACAAAATTCTATGACTGAAGTGAGCATATAAAGCTTAAAAAATAAGCAGAGCTACAGACAGGAACACTACTCACATGCTTTAGAAGCTGCAGGGTGGGGAGGGCTGAGATTCACAGCTGATTACTGTAATTCAAAGTTATTTCTACTAAAAAAAATTCTCACATAGGGTTGTGTTTTTTTTTTTTATTCCCTGTTGTCAGTTCAAGTGGGTTGGCCTTGTTCCAGGAAACCAAAATATGATGAGAACAGGCCGCATGTACCATATTTTTGAACTAGACTGAATCTGAATGCAACTTAAATCCTGTTTCCCAGGGCTGTTTCCATGTCCCAGATCAAATTCTTTCCTACTGTGCTTTCACCTTCTACCTCTCATCTTAGCTTTTTACTCTTCAAAGCCTGCCGCCCGCGGTGGACAACAGAATGCTTTGATCTGGACTGTGAGCTGTCTGGGGTGGGGAAGGGGGAGAGGAAGGACGAAGCATCTCCTTTGCTTGCACCCCTTGGAAGAATGGCTGAGAGCTCCAGAGAGCTGCCCACGCTCCTGCGTGCTGTACCAGTGTGATTCCTTCTTGCAGCCTTCAGGATTGTGCAACAGTACAGGATTCTGCTCCTCCAGTGCTTTGGAAAGCATCATCATGCTTCATTTTAATAGCCCAGAACCTTAAAAAACTGCAGCACCAGCAGCAATTACCACAGAAAGGCCAAGTCATGCATACAGATACCTACAATGTGTATGAGATACATGTTCCAGTATTCTGCAGTCTTCACAAAAACAATGGCATTGCCATCCTTCACAAATGAGACAGGGCATTATAAATCTGTATTTTCACTGTATTTTTCAATGTTTGGCACAAACACGGACTAATTTCCAAGTTATCTGTGATGTAAGAAAGTACGATCATAATGCAGAGCTCATAAACCTGATAATAAGGATATTGGCTTCAGCAAAGATGCAGAAACACACGTTGGCTGCAGCTGTAGAGGCACAGAGGGAACCTGAGCCCTGAGCACCTCCTGATGTTTCAGCTCTGTGTGATAACCTGCCCGTGCTCTATTCCTTCTGCTATGGGCGACGTGGAGAAGCCTGATGTTTTCTTTTTTTCCTTTTCCTGCATCTTTCATTGAAAGAGGTCAAGCTTAGCCTATTTGCTGTATGTGTCAAGTCCCATTTCAGGATGCTGCTTTGTTAAAGTGAAAACCTAAGGTGTTGCTGGAATCACGCTGACAGTTTGTCCGAGCCCTGCAACCTACCTGCTATTTTAAGTATTAATCCAAAGGAGGGCACTGCTTTATGCTGGAAGCTGGGCTTTTTTGTATGCGACTGCAGCTGAAGGTTGCCAGTGACACGGAGGAACAATCAGAAGGGTTAACTAATGGGAAGGTTTATGTAATTCATAATACATGTTTCTCTAAGAAAGGAGGAAGGTAACACCATTTCCTCCGGGCTAGAGGCAGCTCAGGCAGGGAAGAAAGAAATCATGCTGAACACTTCATCACATTTTTGTGCTGTTATCTCCTCTAACATTATCTAATCGAGTTTGAGCACAGTGAAAAGGAAAAAGGCCATGTGAATAGATGGAGGGAGGAAGCCTGCTTGCCTCGCTGAAGCAATTAGGACTGTGGCTTCAATTATTTTATTCACCTGGAGAAAGCAAGCAGGATTTGGTCACTGTGCAATCTCTTGTTTAGTGAAAGGATCTAAGACGCCTTACTTTGCCTTTATGAAGGGTGGAGGAGTGGGGCACACAGTCCTGCCTCATCTGGGTGTACGCTGTGCCCGATTCCCCACCACGGGGCAGGTTAAAGTAGTCAAACAGGCAGAGCTGGATCATTCAGCTGCAGGATGGAGCTGGGATCTGTACATGCTTCAGCTATCCCAGTTTAACAGCTTCCAGGGGAAAAAAAAAAAAGCTGGGTTCCACTGGCTGCTCTTTTCCTGCACAGATCCCCTCTCTGGTGATGGTCTTTGCACCCTGTTGTGCCACTTAAGGTGAGTAATGACAAGGTCTGTTGTACAACCAGGGAGTACAGTATGTGTTGCTCAGCCCTGGGGGTCTCTAATGGGCAAGGACCAATGCAGGGAGGAGGAGCTCGTGGCAGGAACTTGCCCGCCCCTGGCAGTCTGTGGATTATTTCTGAGCCTTGTTTTCCTCCCTGTCGGGAAGTCCTTCTCCGTGCGTACAGCCTACGTTCAGACATACACCAGCAGCAGGCCCTGAGTACTGACGTGTCCGAGCGGATCACAAGGCGGTGACTGATGTGTATACAGAGATGCTCTGTGACACACCATCAGGGCTGGGATGCAAGACACAGTCATGAAAGGTCACTTACAAAGACAGTTAATGACATTAGTTGAAGAGGTTTTGATTATAATTTCCATCAAACAAGGCAGCTTTCACTGCTGTGACCAGAGGCCCAGACAGGGTTTGTTAAGACGCTGTATTATGAAGCAGTGCTGGATTATTAGACAGCGTGGTCTGGCAGTCTTTAAATATTACAGTGGTAGGTGTGACAGAAAGCCCTTAGCTACATAGTTATTACCAGTGAAAACGTTAATTCTTTACTTGTCTCTCAGTATGTGGTTGAAGGTGAATACTGCTATCTACCTTCACTCCATATTGTCTCCTGGTCAAACCTGCTGCCTTTCAATCAGCTTTTGCAACACTGCATCTGCAGTCCAAGCCCAGTCATCCTGGATGCTCTCAGCACCCAGCGGCAGGAACGGAAGCAAAGCGTGCCCCGAGCGTGCAACGCGGGCTCTGACCTAGCGTGTCACCGGGGCAGCCGAGGGAAATGGTTGTGGGAGCTCACTTAGCTCCACCAGGACCTCCCGGCTCCCATCGACTTGGTGAGGCCAAGAGATATTGAATGAATTAACGCCTTTTTGGAGCCTTTTGCTGTACTTATAAATACGAAGTAATATGCTGTACGAAATAAACCACGTACTGTAATTCTGTAATGAATTGGGTAATCGCTCAGGCTTCTAGCACAACGGACCTGGAACAGCAGTAACCTCAGTGAGAACTTTTCTGCATCTTTCTGTGCCCCAGCTCAGCCCCGCAGTGCCTCGGGCGGGTGCAGCCTCCATATCCCTCCTGCTCTTGGCTCCTTGGCAGAGGCTGCCAACACAGATGCCAATGAGTGTCAGCTGAGCTGGTGCTTGCCCTCATTTGGACACCCGCTCACAAGGACCTGGATTGAGACCATCATGTTGCTTTTTCTGACTGACAGCTGTTCAGCATCCTAACAATTTCCATTTACTACCGATCTGGAATGAAATCCAACCAGTGACCTGCGTGTAAAAGTCTCTTATCCCATTAATACGTAAAATGCGCCACCTCCTCTGAATTAAAATGGAATTAAATTTAAAAAGAAGTCTTTAAGTGAAAATCCTAATTAAAAATAAATACACCTTCTGGCACATAAAATTATTTTCCCCTTCAAGAGTTGACTTACATAAGCCAATTTTATTTTATTAAAGTACACTACAATTAAATTAACAGGGGAATAATTAACCTAATTTACCCCATCACTTAAAATAAAAGAAGGAGGAGAAGAAATGTTCCCCAGAAAAAAACCCTTTATATTGCATAGACCTCTAGTAAAAGAAGAACAACTCCCACTCCAAATCAGAGAGACTACCTAGATACAATATGGGAATGTTATGAATTATCAACAGGCTCAGGAGCAATTTGAATCTGATCTTACTACCTAATTAGTTTTATTATTTCCTTATGTCAAAGCATGTCCCTGAGTTGCTTGTATTATTTACTGAGGTGATTTTAACTGTACAAAGTCTGCAGAAGATGAAGTTCTTGGCTCGTGGTGCTTTGCTGAGATCTGGCAGATGGGTCACTGAGTGAATGTTTGAGATTTCCAACGCAATGACTTGCCCTTTTCTTTCAAGAGTTTGTTTTTTCTTTAAAACAAGTGTACTTTTTTTCTTCACCTGAGGGTGAACTTAATACGCCTAAAAAGCTTATTTACACCCACAGTAACATCTTGAAAATTTAATGTAGCATAGAGAAATCTCTGCTGGAACACCTTCTCTAGACAGCTGATGTGTCCGAGGCATCGTAGTCATCGCATCCCACCATCTGTTCCTTTTACTGCCACAGGGGCATACCCAAAATGGATTACTTGGAGGACGTACATGCCTTTTAAGACTCTACAGGCATAACCAAACCAGTTGAGTTTAATGAAGTGATCAGCCTAGTGAGGAGGGCGACACATGCAGAGCAATAAAAAAAAGGGCAATGTGTACATCGCAGCCTATTTCCAGAGCTGCGTGTGTCCTGTTTGCCAGGATTCACACAAATTCCTTTTTTTTTTCAGCTTGAGTATGTGAACTTTGCTTTGAATTCTGAGCCACATTTAACATGTCTTTCATTTTTGCAAACGTTTGAAGCTGAAGTTAGAGGGAGCCAGATACTGCCTTCCTTACTCTGTGTGCATTTTCAGTGCTGCCAGAGAGAATCTGAGCTGCAGAATAATGCACATACATACTAATTCATAAATACTGTTGTAAACTCTTAAAAAGAAAAACAACTCCAAGTTTTATGGTGTTCAAAAATGGTTTGGGCATCTTAACTGATAGTTTCTTTCTTTTTTTTTTCTTTTTAAACTGACACATAAGAAAATAAGAAAATGTGCCAAACTAAGTTAACAGTCTAAAAATGAACATTGCTGAGATTTAAGATCATCACGGCAGCCTTTCATGTAAGAGCTGCCAGAATCAAACTAAACTAAAAAGAGATAACAGTTCCTCTGTGAATCCGAGCAAACACTGCAGAATTACCAGGTACGTTTTTCCATTTTTCTCACTGAAATTGTGACCCAATTATGTGGCCTTTGGTGAGGTCCTCATGAGCTCACAGGTCATCTGCACGAAAAATATTATTCTGGCACTGACAAAATGAGATTTCACGTGGTTCCAGGCCTGAAAGACTTCAGACAAAGTTTTAAATCTCTGTTGTTTTCTGTCACGGGGTTGGAAATGAATTCACATCTTGAAGTCACGATTAGCTGTACACTCAGCTGTCTTTTTTTGGTTCAGCTTCCTCTGCATGATAATATCCTTTTTTAGAGAATCGTTTAAGAAATAAGGAGAATAAACGTGATGTATGGTTTTAAAGACATTGACTTTGTTGCGTATACCGCAGAAAGCAGGGTACATATAAAAATGATCATTTACACAGAACATGTATCCCCACGTAGTTTTAAGACACAATTACTTGGCGTTAATGAGGTTGGAGCACAGTTTTGATCAATATAGCCTGTAGTATATTCTGGCTTTAGCCTCTCCAGTCTCATACCACTGGGAAACCAGGCAGGGGCATCAAAAGGGCTGTAAAAGGGAGCTGTTGACTGAACCTGTTAAATTCTGTGTGGGCAGATCCTGGCTTTAGGCAGCTTGTTGCAGAGAATCAGGGCAGTGAGGTCAAGGTGAGTCACAAACCTCGATAAAACTTGTGCATCCTACTTTGCAGCCCAAGGGGCCACGTGTTTTGGGACACGCTATTTAAAAGGATTAATGAGTCCTACAGAAAATAAATTCGCATCTGCTCTCTGATGAACATGACCTCTTTTGATGCTGCTATCTGAATCTTTCCCCTCCCTGGTGGGTAAATGACATCAAAATCAGTCATGTTGGCTTAACCCACAGAGAGTAAATGCCCTCTAAACTTAATTTTCCTTCTTCCTTAAAAAAAACCAAAAAAATCAAAGCAAGCACAGATGTAATTATTAAATACCTAGGACACAATAAATTCCTGCTTTCCAAACTATTTAACTATTCCAGTTCTGTGCTTGCTATGTGGATGTTTTTATTATTCTTTCTCTTATTTAAGGTACTAGCAGGAAATTGCAAAATAAAAGTGAATTGAGTCTTTACCAACATTGGTATAATTTTCCCTATGCTTGTATGGTATGGTTTTGGCTCATGCCACTGGCATTTGGACAGAAAACGCCTGATTATAACCTGTGGGGTAAGTATACACCATGGCCCATCCCCAAGAAGAGATCCGGATGCAGTCACACTGATCTTGATGGTCTCTTCCAGCCAAAATAGTTCTATGATTCTATGCGGAGGGTGATGGAGTTTAACCGCATGGACACGAACTAAGGGCTTGAGAAAAGTCCCTGAGTGGTTTTATTTACTAGCGTAGATGTGATCTCCACAGCCTTCCGACACAGTTAATTGCCCGATGAACTTGTCTCCCTGTCTCTGCCTCCAGATTTAGTGTGGTTTGGGCCGGGGAGAGCACAGCATCAGCTGGATGCTCTCTCAGGCTGGGAAGCTGCCTACAACACCCAACGATCAACAGGAAAGGTGTTTTCTTACTGCCTTGTGCCGTCTCCGAGCTTGTGGGTTTGATGACACGATTCGCATCCTCATGAAGAGCCCCAAACCAGTCTTTTAGCCGTGAAGCGAGGTTCCTCAGCTCTTTGTCTGTGCAAGCTAGAAAAAGAACAAAGCACCAGACTGAGTCAAGGGCACCAGTGACAAACCTTTCTGCGGACAATCTATTAGAAAAATATCGTTTATGGTTGTAGAGTCCTTCTCATTACAAACTCTGAAGTAAAAGCTAGGGAAAAAGGATGCAAGGTAAAAGGAAAATGTTAGGCATTATGAGTTTTAAGCTGTGCTCAAGCGCTTCCTCGGTAGCTGACACGGTTTGTGATGGAAGAAGTGACACACAGAGCTACCCCCAGGTTCACAATTAGAGCTGTGTGACTATTTAACTTAAATGCTTTCACCTTTTGGGATTTCAGAGAAAAATATCAGTCAAACAGATGGGGAGGCGGGACGTACTTGCCCAGACATACTACTCGAACAAGATGCTAGACATGATTTATAACCACATTTGGCTTAGTATAAGGCTATTATCACAGTACTAGGAAATATATATACTTATTTATATACATACAAAAGAAAATGGTTACCTTGCTCTAGTTCTACTCCAAGTGAGACTTTACCACCGCTGAAGGTTGTCAATTCCATTTTGTTAGCTAGGTAAAACATTTCTTTTCTTATAAATATTTATTGGGACATACCTAATTTTTCCACAAATTTCTGCCAAGAGAAAGTCCAGCTGAAGTAAATATTTTTTAAGGAGGAAAGCTGCATTAGTCACCAGTTTCTGCTGGAAAAAATATTCTTGTTTCTGTATCATGTTTAGTGCTCAAAATTCACATGCTCAGACAATCT